GGCGAGAGGGAGGGGGGAGCGGGCTGAGGGCTGCGCCCCACCCGCCTGCGCTTGCCTCCTTCTGGATTTAAGGGTGCGAGAGAAACACAGGGACATGTTCTCCGCCCTTATTTCTCTCTTCTCTTTTCCCCCTTTCCGAAGAGAATAATCAAGGGAAGAGATGGGGAGAGAAAGGGAAAAGTGAAATTCTGAGATGCTGCTGGGAACTTTGGTCCCTTCCCCTGCATCCTTTCCCCTGCACAGAAATGGAACAGGCATCCCACTCCCTCCGGTGCGGAGCGTCGGGGAAACGAAGCTGCAGAGCCCGGGGAGGAGGCAGCCCCTGAGCCTGGCAGCCGAACGGCAATGTGATGCTTGAAGAAGCTTCTGCCCACCTTGCACAGGAGGGATGGAGATCCCTAAAGTACTCAGGCTCCTCATAGAGCTCTCCAGTCTGTTATCCTGTCTCAGATGTGTGGAGGTAAGAAATGGTTATTCTTCTATCTGCTTATGCGAAGTCACATGGCTTTTTTAATATCCTTACTGTAAGTGGATCTTGTTATTACTTGAATATGTTTTCCAAAGCATCTAGGCAGCTGTGGTCTCTGGGAAGAGCTGGGGGCTTGGCGAGGGATTTATTTCATTGTGCATATGAAATTCAGAAAAGGAAACAAATTGGGGAAGCAGGATGCACAAGGGCTTGCAGATGCTTTGGCTCAGGTTTCCTGTGTTTCTCAGGCGCTGCAGTGACCCTGACAGGAGAGGTCCGTTGTTTCTGTTCTTTGCTGATGGACTGATTACCCCTGTTGCTGTTAGGAACAGATGATTTATAGCCACATGGATGTGGGGCAGTGACTGCAGCACTTGGTGTCTGCACGAAGATTTGGTCAATCTTAGCTAAGATGGTCAGCACTGGGGTGTTTTGGAAGCTGTTATGTGAACTGGCAGCGACTAATCTTTCATTAGAAGGGAAGTGTATTACTTGGACTGCGATTCTTTTATTTATGGTCCATCTCCAAGAGCAGGTTCAGGCTTTCTCTTGCAGGCCTGTTATTAGTCCAACCCATCCCTCTGTTGCCTGCAGGCTTACATGTGTGTGCAGGTGCACACTAAATGCTAGGAGTCAGGGGACCTGGACTGTGGCTCAGTCACCTGTTTGGTGTCATCACAGAAGTGTGGCTTAGCTCACTCTCCTCTCTTTGCAAACAGCTTTGAGATCCTCAGATAAGTCCTTTGGCATTGTTGCTTCACAGACCATTATGTGGGATTTCAACAGCCTGATACATGCAGATGGATTTTTGGCTGAAAAGCATTTGTCAGTTAAATGCTGTTTTATCCATGCATCCGTTGTGCATTTGCACCTGAGATCCGATCTACTGTTTCTGAGCCATGTCAGGACTTCTGGAGGGTGATGGTGGAGTTGGCCATGGTTGCCAACACCTGCTGGACCATATTCGTAAGCTTGTTTTAAAAAGAAAGATGTCTGCCATGAGTAGGTGTCATTCTTGTTAGGTATCTATGGGAACTATCTCTACTTATTCTAGAGGTGGGTTTGATTTAATTCCAGATTTTACTCTTCCCCTTTTCCAGGGGAAAGGTGGAGCTGAGAGAAGCAAAATTACTGCATTTTGAAGAAAACCGGAACCATTTCCAATAGCTAGTATTCTTTATATGCACAACTCTGCTCTGTGAATAACAAGTCCTTGTTCCTACAGAAGTATTAAAGTGTTCATTTAAAAGTATTTAGAAATTAATTAAACTACAAGGAGTTAACACAAGCATGTACAGTTTCTTCTTTTCACTCTGTGAAAAGATCTTGCACCTGCCTGCACACCATGTAATGGCGTTGAGTGGAGATCCCTATCTCTCAGCCAGCAATCAAGTTATAACCACCAAAAACACTGCCTATAAGAGGAAATACAGTTTTGGTGCTGGGCAGGATGCTGGAATTCTGAAGACTTTGTTTCATGTTTTTTGTTCTTAGCTATTTAACCCCATTTGGATAATAATACCATAGGCCGTATCATATTCTCATGTATTAAAAACAAAATCCCCAAAAAACCTTGTTGTGTATCTTCTTTAGGTGTTTCCTGCTTTGTACACTTATTACTATTTTAACAGGGATCCCTGGGTGCATCATACCATCACATAGATACATTTCAGTTTGCTGCTGTGGCCATAGATGGCTTGCCCTAGAAATGGAGAGAGAATGAGTGATTACTCATTATTTTCCTTACTGGTAACAATGATTTTCTTCTAGGTTTTCTTTCCATAGGCATCTCACTCAGGCTTCCCAACTCTGTCAGAAAAGAACATGTGAAGCCCTGCAATGTAGTGCTTTGGTCAAGGGTAAATCTCTGCAGGCCAGAAATTATTCATTTTGCTGTTATTGGGCAGAGCTGTGATTGGATTTGAAAAGGAGCAATGGGGGGAGCAGGGAAGAGGCTGTTTACTGGGGCGTGTTAGCCTAAAGCAGCGAAAGGCTGAGCTGCTTTTAGGACATGCCCATGTTTATTTCATCGGATAATCATCCTTCTGCTTTTGCTCTGTTTCTTTTCCCAGGCTTTCCTGGGATCCCAGCCCAACCAAAACCATTTGCAGAGTGCAGGTAAGAACAAGAAGTTATTAATTCAGTCATCAGGCAGCTTCTTTCCTGCAGTGGTGATCTGAGACCATAGGTACGATGAACCACTGCTACCTGGCATTCTTCCTTTCTTTCCATCACTACTTCAATCTTTTCTCCTGCCTCTATGTTTGTTTATCTCCTTCCCCAAAATGGCCAGACCACTGTTTTCTTCATGTCTACTACTCTTGTAGTTCCCTACTCCTCTCACATGTTCTTTTCCTTTAATTTCTTTCTTCACTTCAGTCTTCTTTGCATGCTCACCTTTCCTCCTCTCCAATATCTACTGAAATCTCAGACACCCCCTCTGAGGGTGCCAGGTGATGCAAAGCGCACAGTGCATTTTCCAGACACTTATCTGTAACTCCTTCTCATTTTTGTCCCCTGCATCAGCTACAAGGCAAATGGCAAAGTTTCTTTGTACCCTTGAAGTTTGCCCTATGTGTCTTTATGGCAGAAGGGTGTTCTGGAAGTCTTGGCTTCTTTTTGTTTATTCAATACAGTGAATAGAGCTGTAACTGTCACCCTTTCTGCATCTGCTCTTCCCATGTTATGAACTCTAAAAAGCCTACCCTCACACAGAATCTGGTTCTGGTTTTCTTCCTTCTTTTTTCAGGGTCATGAATGGAGAGTTTTCTTCTTTTGTTAAAGACAATAATTAATTAATTGTTGGGGTTTCTTTCCATGAGATACTTCACATGGGCACTGGCCTGGAACACTGGCACCTGCACTTCCCCTGCATAGGTTCCTTTTCCCTACTTGTGTATTGTGCAAGTTCAGATAAGCCAGGGTATATGCTAATGCGTATAGGGAACATACAATGAACTACAATACCATTTCCCACCTTCCTGCTTTGTAGAATGAAATTGCAGCTAATTTTAAACTCTCCTCCATTTCAATCAATTTAGACAGGCAACTAATCTTCTAAAGAGCCTAAGATCACATTTAAGAGCATCTTATTCAGGTGCCAAAGCAGGTGGGGAAGAAAGTGGACGATTGTGTGCCAGGCTCAAGTACTGCTCCAGGGCAAGTGAATACATATATTGAAATAAATGGTAATGGGAACTGGTTCAAATTGTCCATGTTCAGGCCAGAGTTAAGACATTTCAAAGGTCTGTCTGGGCAGTTCATGACTTTCAGATCAACTTGCAGTTTAGACAGTGCATATTATAGAATCATAGGATGGTTTGGGTTGGAAATGATCTTAAGATCACCTAGTTACAACCCCCCTGCCAGAGGCAGGGACTCCTCACACTAGACCATATCGCCCAAGGCTCTGTCCAACCTGGCCTTGTACACTGCCAGGGATGGAGCATTTACCACTCCTCTGGGCAACCTGTTCCAGTGCCTCACCACCCTCACAAACATTTCTTGAGCAGCTGCCTTGGAGAATGATAAAATTGAAATCAAGCAAGTAGCAATCAGGACTGCAGACATGGGAGGTGTTTCAGGAGATCAGCTGATATCTCCCACATTGTCTGAGCCTTGGTACATGATGCCTTAAGTGATGCTAATGGCTCCTTTCCTGTGCCCAGTGTCCAGCGTGTGTGGTGTCGGACCTCTTGGGTATTACAATGGCTCACTGGCGGTCACTGAGGCCGGGGCAGAGTGCCTCAACTGGGCAGAGTTCCCCGATTATGTTCAGCAGTACCCAGATCGTGGCTTGGGGAACCACAACCACTGCAGGAACCCGGATGGGGGAACTACACCCTGGTGCTTCTACCGGCTTGTGTCAGGGGCCATCGGCTGGGCTAACTGTGACTGTAACCAAGGTAAGGGCTGCTGTGTGTCTCTACCAGTGCCTGGCTACACTGTCTTGGGGGCTCAGGCCAGAGATGTGTGCTGCATAGACTTGTAAGCAGCAGGTGGGACACCCTGAGAAAGAAGCACACTGTCCCAAATTGTCAAAATAATTAGGACTAGAGGCTAGCCTGTGTGGGAGAAGAACGTCTGTATATAGTAGGGGGTGGATTTAAGCTGCTGTAGCCATAATGCCTTGTATAGATGCTTTTATTTCCATACAAGGAGACTTCTTTTTTTTTTTTTTTTTTTTTTTTTTTTTTTTTTTTTTTTTTTTTTTTTTTTTTTTTTTTTTTTTTTTTTTTTTTTTTTTTTTTTTTTTTTTTTTTTTTTTTTTTTTTTTTTTTTTTTTTTTTTTTTTTTCACACAAGGAGACTTTTTTTTTTTTTTTTTTTTTTTTTTTACTGTTAACTTATGCCACTTTGAAACAGTTTAAGTTATGTGGAAAACAACCCACTCCTGCTTCTTGAGTGCCTGTATCAGAGCTGTCCTCATGTAAGTGTAACTGTTCAAATGTAATAAGGAAAAATCTTCTGTGGCTAGGTTGGTGAATCTGCGGCAAGGTAGGTTATAGGCTTGCTTTGAAACTCCTCGCATTGCTGACGCAAGGATTGCTGGAGGCATGCAAGGGAGATCAGCTCTCTGAATGCACTGACTCCAGCACAACGTTCTTAAAAATGTTTTGTTTGTCCTTCTGCTTTCTGACCTTCCTTGTTTTTCCTATGTTTTGCAGAACAGATGAAGTACAAGTTTAATAAATGAAATTAATGTCTTCTCCCTTGCTAGTGGAAGTGCTTTCAAAGATTGCTTCATTAAAGTGAGGGGTACAAGTGTAGTTGTGCTGTGTGCCTGCATGAAGTGCATCATCCAACACATAACTGAACAAGGAGATGTGCTTTCTAAACCATGGTAGATATTTGTGGTGCAGTGAGAATTGAAAGGGCATTTACATTGTCACTTGCTTTACTTAGATAATTTAAAGAGGATTCATCTGCCGTTACTGAGCATCTGGCTGTAGCAACAGTGACTGTCATAGGTGGTCAATGGTAAATACATCAGTGGAGCGTCAAAAGGAGGAGAGCCTACCATTTCCATACACCTTTTCCAAGGCAGCATGTAAAATCATCCCTATTTCACAGAAGGAGAATCCAGGAGCTGTGGCAGAAGCCAAGTTTCCTGCAATGTTACCATGGCTTTGAAAAGAGCATAGCACCAGCCATCCTGCTGAGCAGCCATTGCAGGACCTAGGAAGGTGCCTTCAAAACAGCAAAACAGCAACAAGAGAGGTCAAGTGCAGTTCAGCTCTACTATGTGCAAGTCCAAGACTTGCTGGTCTGAAACCTCCATCACAAGATAGCAGTTTTTCTTTTATTTCCCCCCGCTCTTTTGGAAGGTGCTGTGCGGTTGGCTGAAGATAGTAGTGTGGAGCTGTACTTCAATGGACTCTGGGGCACCGTCTGTGCTGACTACTGGACTGACTGGGATGCCAGTGTTGTCTGCAGGCAACTAGGTCTCAGGTGGGAACCTCAATCTGTTTGCAAAAGTTACATGCTCATGTAGCCTTTGAAAGAATAGCCTCTGTGGTTACAGTCTCCTGGCATAGTGTGTTGGCTGGGGGAGAGGAGTTGGTTTTGTGGGCTCATTTCCCACTTACCAGTGTCCTTTCATACTGTTTCTTTTCTGTGGCTATACTCACCCAATCAGCATTTGCAAGACTTCTTTATAGCAGTAGTTTCTGCTTGGTGCTCCAGACTGCGATGAGTGAGGTGTGAGACTGCATCCTCTCTTTAAGATTACCAGCTGGAGTTTACTGTAGTGATCTAATAGGAATTTTGAGAGCGTGAACCGTCTTTGGGAATCTGGGATTTGGACCTTCCAGCTTCCAAATAGCAAGGACATAAGGTCCACAGAGAAGGAAGAAGGTGATTGAGATATCTAGATGTTTGAATCTGTTGATGGGTTTGTTCATCACTCTCAAGTGAGGGGGCCATTTCTGACCAGACCAAGTCTTCTGCCTTAAGTAGGAAAACAAAATAGGTGAAGTGGTGGGAAGTGCTTTGCACTTGTTTGTGCTTTCCCATTAGACTGTAAATGGCCACCCCTTTACACACTCCCAATCAACTGGGCTTACTGGGATGTGAAATGGCACAACTGGACTGCAGAGTCACGAGAACGGAGGGGAACTGGTAAGTCGAGCAGTGCTATGACATTCCACCGCTCTGTTGCATTCTCTGTACCAGTGAGATTGGCTCAGCTGGGAAGAAGAGTCACCCCGGACTGTGGCCTGTTCCCCTGCACCTGCAGTCAGCAAACTGCCATGGGGATGAGAAAGCCCTGCTGCAGTGTGGCTATCATGAAGCTGCGTCAGGAGTTTGTAAGCAGGGGAGTGCCATGGCAACCTGTGTCCCTCCAGAAGGTAAATCTCCAGGGGAGGTTCACTCCCTGTTTCTTGCATCAGTGTTGCTGATAACATGTAAAATGTAAGGTTGTGAAGCTATGGAGAGCAAATCATTGGAGCATGTTCTTCTTTCACCTGCTATACAGGTGGTTATCTTCCTTCCAGGGGAAAATTATCCATCCTTTCCCAATCCCAAACACTCAGAGTGGGCATAGTTCTACAGTCACTGGAAGATGGCTGCTGCTTATGACCACATCCCCTTTTCATCAAACCAGGATTTTGTCTGCAGCCAGTTGAAGAGCCATCCCTGGAGCAGCTGTATCCCCTACTGCGGGCTACAATCACTGAGGCTTCTGTAGGGTCTAGAGGGGAGGATGTGGTAGGGCGGGACTAGAGCATCCCAAGAGCTCCTCTGGCTGGTGAATGGTTCTAGAGCCTGAACTGCTGAACTGGATATGTTTTGTCTCTGTCTTGTTCTGTTGTACTCTTTTTTTTTTTCCCTTTCTTGAAGCACAGGTGTAGGTGCCCCGCTGCGTTTAGTTGGGGGAAAGGAGAGCTTTGAAGGACGAGTGGAGGTTTACCATGATGGCAAGTGGGGTACCATTTGTGATGACCAGTGGGACGACCGGGATGCTGAAGTAGTCTGTAGGCAGTTGGGACTCAGGTAATTTCCCCGCAATATGTCATGAAGTTGTGCTAGAAGTAGGCAGAACAAAGAACATGAGAGCATCTCCCTCCACTATAGTACCAGTCCTTTCTATAGGAGGTATACAGAAAGCCTGGGAAAGATAATTCTGGACAGATCACCCTATATAATTACACCTCATACTCCTGTGTGCTATTCAGTGCTTAACAGGA